TCTCAACCTTTATATATACATGTATGTTACGTATCATCATCAAATACAACATAATATATTACATTTAAATCTTAAGATTGAACACAAGTGCGGTCACTTCCATTTTAGACAAAAAAAAAGGTCCAAAATAAGCACAAATGCTACAATTATGAAGATTTCAATAATTTTGAATGAATTAATTATGCTAGTACCTGATGCATGTGTATTGTTTGTTTAAAAACAGCCCATATTTGTTAAACACAATTATTCTTCTTTCCAAAAAAAATAGCTAAAAGTTTACATTTTTAACAAATTTTTAAAATGCTATAATTTAGGGCCAAAAAGGGGCCTTACCGGGCCTACTCCTTTGTGAACATTGTAAAGTCACAGACGATGTTAAACACTTTCTTTTAGTCTACTCAAAATATGATGCGCAAAGAAAACAGGAAAGCAAGGAGTCATAGATCTTTCATTGAAACACCTTCTTTCCGGATACTCACATACTTTTAGTTGTGCGTTACTATTTACAGGAAACTAATATACTTAGGAAGGCTCTCAAATAAGTATCATCAATATATTCATATGAATATATCCTTTAGATAAATAAATTATGTATTTGTAACCCATGTGTACATGATGTATTTCTAAGGTAGTCTCTCAAGTTCAATTATTTTTCCATTACAAAACAAGCACAATTAAAGAAACAAAAAACTCACCCGAATCTAAACTTTTTTTAGAATTGTGATAAGCAAGCATTGCACACTTCACCTTTGTGGCAGTCCATAGAACTTAATCAAGTAGACTTTTTTTTCTACCTGTGTTGTACATCAGTAAATCAATCTAAACACGTGTACGTAACTGACCACGCAATGCACGCAATCAATTTCAACAAGCCTAAAAAAATCATGCTATACACTCGCGCTGGTCTCTTGAAGATTAGTAGTAAACTCCGAAACTGAATAATTTAACAGTATATGTTAAAAAAATACAATATAACTTTTAGAGTCTCACAAACCGACAGTTACGGTCATATTATAAATCTGGGACTACTATATTATGAATTTTAAATTAAGAAATTAAAATGAACACGCAAAAAACAACAACACATGAAGCTCATATATTATAGAATAGAAACATTTTCTACAGCCTTTTCTACAACGGTGTCACTAAAATTTGTCTTAATAATTAAACATTATATGCTAAAAACAAAAGAAAAAGTAAGAATAAATGAAAATACAATATCACTTTCAGAGTCTCACCATAGGTACTTGGGGAAAGGACAATTTTTTCGAAGTTTATTATCCACAGCGGTCACTCTCAATGCTCTTCAACTTCGTACTTTATTTGGCCTTTTTAACTTTTTATTTTATTCGAGCGTCACTGGTGAGTCTTTTGTCGACGAAACGCGCGTCTGGCGCAAATACAAAATTTCAATCCTGGTATCTATGATGAGTTTATATATCAGTGACCGATGAATAATACAGAAAAACGCGAAAATAATTGAAATTAATAGAAAACGAAAAATAACGGATTTTTTTTTGGGAAAAAAGGGGGAGGGCCAAAAAAAAATTGTCCTGTCCCCAAGTACCTATGGTTTCTACATACTTTTATCTTAGATAATGAAGATAATTTGCGCCTTCCAGTTTACAAAATTGTACTTTCGGTTCATATAACATGTTGATTCAGGCTGATTCTGAAAGGTTTGGTTTCCTTTACTTTTACATGAAATTAGTGCAAAAACTACAACTGCCGGTTTACACAAGGTCACTTTCAGATGACTCTTTACAAAGTCGTATGTCGTCCATCCTAATGCAATAGACATTATAGCTTTATTATGTATCAATATAAAGTTATAGCAAGATCAAAATATAAGCTAGTAAGTCAAATTAAACTTTGATCTTGACCTAAATTCCATGGTCAAATGTCAAGGATCTCATATCAATTGTTCGGTTAAAAACGGTGAGTTTAAAAACTCAATAAATGTTCAATGTCATATACCGAATATCTTATCAACATACAGCGAAACAAAAGCAGCATTTCAGAAACAAGTGTCGAAAAAAAACTAAATAATCAGAACCTGGGACTAGACTATAATAGTTCCAGTCAGAACAAAATGTCTTTCCATGGAAAGATGGCAAGACATAATAAGCAAAACCATCTACGGTTTAATATTGACTGAAGGAGTTACAACTTAAGTTTTTGATCAAAGTAATAAAATGTAAATAATTATTTGGAATAAAGCTTTTTACCCGTATCGAAGGCTAAAGAAAATCACCGATAGTCATATGTGAAGGCAAGTAATTTGTTTTATGTGCATGATAATACAAATACAAATACAAATATTTTATTGGCACAAACACAATTACAATAATTTAAATGACAAATGCCCATATTTCAGTACATTATTACAATGAATTCAGCATAATGAAATAATATGTTATAATTAAGAAGATAAAATCTCATTTCTATAATCCAGACATTTACGTATATAAGAACATCATTTCGGGGCTATTTATAGCTGACTGTGCGGTATGGGCTTTGCTCATTGTTGAAGGCCGTACGGTGACCTATAGTTGTTAATTTCTGTGTCACTTGGTCTCTTGTGGAGAGTTGTCTCATTGGCAATCATATCACATCTTCTTTTTTATAGTCACTTTCAGGACTTTTAAAAAATTGCTATTAATGCAACATTTCATATTTACCTGATTCTCACTATAAATTGTAGGAAGTATATTTAATATAATAGTTTTAAAGTTTATTCTGTAGTTAGAATATTTTTCAAAATTCAGTAAAAAGTGATTTTCACCTTCTACGTGTCCTCATCCGATTTACATACATTGCAAACTCGTTCATTGGTGGGTAAACCTAAATGTCGCCCTTTTTCTATAGCAAGATTGTGTGCACTTAATCTTATTTTTACACAGAGATGACCTTTCTAATTTGTTCCTTAGAACATCAACATCAGAACTCAGGGGCGCATCCAGCCATTTAAAAAAAAAGGGGGGGGGGTTCCCAACCCAGGATAAAGTGGGGGTGGGGGTTCCAACTATATGTCCCAATTCAAATGCATTGATCGTACAAAAAAAAGAGGGGGTTCCAACCCCCGGAACCCCCCTCTGGATCCGCCAGTGGAACTACGCTAATTTGAATTATGAAATATTTAATAAAATTTTAGTTTGGATGAATCAAGGATTTGTATATTACTGTACAAATTCTTGGATGAATTGTAAATTTTTGATGATTGATCCTGCGTGCACTGATCAATCACTCGTTGTTTAATACTTGGTAGATACAGAGACATATATATATATATATATATGTCTTGTTTAATAGAACATTTTCTCCCAGCTAGGTTCGAAAATGCTAGATTGTTTAAAATATAATAAAGTTGCTTTGTCAAGGGGTTATTTTTTCAGTTGCAAGACAAATTTTTGGATACAAGTGTGTTTTTAGACCTTAAAATATGTTCAAAAAATTTAATACACGAAAATGATAAATAATGCACATCTTCGGAGGGCACTGGATAGTAATCCTTGGCCAAGGATTTGTATAGTGAGATATTGTTCGTATGTCACACTTTTGAATTCCAGATAATAATTAGAGACTGACTGTGTTTTGAAATTGATAGCCTGGGATCCTGGCTCACTGCTCGACAGTATCGACGAAGTATTAGATTGGGTCAGGATGCCAGGCTTTGTGTGTCATTGTGTGTTAGTTTACGTTTTTTGATTGAGTTAAGCCTTCCATATTTTATAGTGTGTCTTTTTATGTTCTGATGTTATACTAGTCTATTGTTTCAGAAAAGGGAGAAGGTTTGGTACCATTAAAACGTTTAATTCCGCTGCAAATGTTTGCACCTGGTCTTAGGTGTCCTAAGTCAGGAATCTGATGTACAGTAGTTGTCGTCTGTTTATGTAGTTCATACGTGTTTCTCGTTTCTCGTTTTTATATAGATTAGACCGTTGTTTTTTTCCCCGTTTGAATGGTTTTACACAAGTAATTTTTGGGGCCCTTTATAGCTTGCTGTTCGGTGTGAGCCAATGCTCCGTGTTGAAGGCCGTACATTGACTCATAATGGTTTACTTTTATAAATTTTTACTTGGATGGAGAGTTGTCTCATTGGCACTCATACCACATCTCCCTATATGAGGGTAGTAATGCCCTTTACCGTCAGGCGTCAAACGGTCATTTTCGTCTACCGTTAGCGTAAAATTGGTTAAAATTTTACCGTGATTCGTCAAAATATCCTTATCGTGATTCGTCAGAGGTCTCAAATAATTATCGTTACCGTCATTTTTGGAAAACATTTAATTAACGTGATTCGTCAAAATCAGTCAATTTTTTAATCGTCTAAAAGAAAGTGTACATTTTATCGTCAGGCACCAAAAATTACCGTTAACGTCATTTGGCAAGAATTTTTACCGTTATTCGTCATGAAGGTACCCCCATTACGACCCCAATCGTAACTACTCGGCCATTCTCGCTATGCAGTACAATAACTATTTAGTTATTTCTTCGTGCAGGTTAAATTACAGATCAGACAACTATTCTGGTATTTTAAGACCTAAAACGGCAGAAAACATGTCGCTAGTGAGTTAAGACACCGACACATCGTATGGGTCGACCAATTCGTGATGGTGATCGTCAAACTTATGAAGTGTCGTTCTTATACTCATAACTCTGTTGGAACAGTTTTTGTGGAAGGAGCACACCGGCCTCTGGTAATGAAGTCTGTATATTGCGAACATGCACGAGCGTAAAGGATTAACTGAGATATGTAAACGCCATACAGCAGAGGGTATTACAAAATGTATGCTGCTGATAATTCGAAAATTGAAATCATCACGTTTGTCACAAATTCTTAGACTAGTTTGAAGTCGTCCATCTGTGTCAATATCGAGATATGAAGCAGACCTTCTACTCTCGGTAGTATCTTTAACCTCAAGATCACTGGGGTATATAGATGTGAGCACTCATCGAAATGTTGGTTTTTGAGTGACAAAACATCACCAATAAAGTAGTATATGAGAACTTTTTAATATGCTTTTTCTTTTTCTTTTTGTGAAGGTTCTGTGTGAATTCTGCTTCATACTAGTACAAAAAAAGTCGGCCAGTAGTGGTGCACAATAAGTACCCATTGGAAAACCGACAGTCTGCTGAAATAAAAAAAAAATGGCAAACTACTAGTATGATTGTTGTATCATTATTGTCGTTGTCATTATTATATATCGTATGCAGGCTGTTCAGATACGAAGATTAAAATAATATTCTGAACAGATGTTCAGAGGGGAAATTTCCGACAAATTCCAGTCGATAGAAGGTTAAATTTCCTGAGCCTATAGGCGATCGATTGAAACTTCTTCTCTTGACTGGTATATTTTAATGTTTTATAGCTTGGAACTCTCCTTACTAGAAGAAATGGATTAAATGTCCCCAATCCGACCTGACGTGACAGTTTATGTATACATCACGCAGAGTCCAACGGACGGCTTTGTTTAGCATGAATTTAGTATGGAGAAGTCCAGGTGACCAGCTTTTATTCTCCAGTCAACACTTGGAGTTACATAAATAGAAACAGTTTATCATTGATATGGTCATTATTTTAATTAACTGTTTACAAAACTTTGAATTTTTCAAAATACTAAGGATTTTGTACCCCAGGAATATAAGCTTAGATGTTTTTTTGGCAAAACCTCTCGGAAGTTTTTGTTTAATGATCTTCAACTTCATACTTTTATTTGGCCTTTTTTCACATTTTTTATTCGATCGTCACTGATGAGTCTTTTTTAGACGAAACTCGCGTCTGGCGTATAAAATTTTAATCCTGGTATCTATGATGAGTTTATTGTATAACTGATATTGAGGAAATTATGTCGCATCTTACATTCTTTTCAAATTCTACAATCATAATTATTTCCTTATTGTGTAAAATATATAAATTAAATATGAAATATTAAGTTACAATTTCGCCAAAGAATACTAGGTTTTTTTAAGTCCATGAATTATAAAATATTGAATACTGACAAATATTTCCTGAATTAGATCGTTTTTATATTAATTTACATACAAATTAGAATTTCCTTAGTCAGGAACCTGTTGTTCAGTGGTTGTCGTTTGTTGATGTGGTTCATAAGTGTTTCTCGTTTCTCGTTTTTTATATAGATTAGACCGTTGGTTTTCTTGTTTGAATGGTTTTACACTAGTAATTTTTGGGGCCCTTTATAGCTTGCTGTTCGGTGTTAGCCAAGGCTCCGTGTTGAAGGCCGTACTTTGACCTATAATGGTTTACTTTTACAAATTGTGACTTGGATGGAGAGTTGTCTCATTGGCACTCATACCACATCTTCTTATATCTACTAACAGTGTATTCAATCATTTTTAATTAATATTTTCTACATTTAACTTATTAGTACAGCATAAACTGGAATACAACATATATTCCAACATTTGGAGCTACACAGTGATAGATCTCTTTCTTTCAAGCTCGACTGAGGGACAATTTTATTCATTCAAAGGTTTGGAACAAGATACATAGTATAAAAAATTTTCAACACACAAAGACAGTAAAATTTAATTATTTATACGTGGATTCAATTGATTAAAGCAATAATCTCGATGACCTAGGATCCTTTACACTATTAAAAGGTAATGTTGTTGCAATACAGTGTAAATCAGACACAGAAAAACTTAAATTGTTTATTCCTTTTTGTTTTGTAAATACATCATGCCGTTGGTGTTCCAATTTGAATTGTTTTACATTTTTTCATGTCGCGGCCTTCTATAACTAACTATACGTTGCGGGTTCTGCTACATATGTAAGTGTTAAAGGCCGTACGCTGAGTTATAGTAAACTGTTGCTTACATCTACGTCATTCTGTCTCTGGCGGATAGTTGTCATATCGGCAATCATACCACATCTTATTTTTTATCTGAAATGATGGAAAGATTGTGAAAATAGGATGATTTTTTTTTGTCAAAGAGGGCTATTTTTACCTCCCTCGTAGGTGATAGGTTTAAAGGGAGAGATTTTAATTTTTTAAAGGAGAAACCGGGAGTTTACTCTCGCCTATTATAAATGGTGCGTTGGCAGGTATGTAACAGGGACCACCGAAATATTTGACAGTACAACAATGCACACCAACAACCAACACTGAACTCCTCCAAATGAATACACGTACAAACAGAGATACAAAACAATAACGAACACTACATGGTCAGGTTCATGCTCAAAATGTGATGGAGTTCAACCGCAGTTTTGTGTGCGCACAAACCTCCCCAGTTACCTATTGTCTCCATATGTCGTAAAAGTCACACATTTGATATTTTCTGCACATTTTTAGATGTATATCATGCATATATTTTTTGTTGGTTTTGAATTATATAACTTTCAATAAACAAGATAACATACCAAGTTTTAGTGTATAAGATCCAGAATTCGTCTTATTACCATAGCAACTAATAACCATTACAACTACGATAAAACAAACAGCATTCATGATGCGCATTGTTTGACAATCAACTTTAACAGATCGTACACTTCAAACTTATTCAAACATAAACATAGAACTGCTTAATTACCATATTGCGTGTTATCATATTTAATAATGAAATTCGATGATGTAAAATATATTATTATCATAGATTTGTAACCCTTCGTAGAATTATGAAGAAAAAAACCTTTTGTGAAAAGTCAAAAGAAATAATTATTGCATTACAGGACAGAAACAAAGGTTTATCTAGCATAAAAGAAAACCGTAGAGAACTAAAAACAATTAAAACAACACTTTATAATTCTAAAGTCAACCTTAGTTTCTTTATAATCTATAAATTTATAAACGTACACTTTAAGAAAGGATTGTTATAAATCATGTCAGTACCGAAGTGCTATATTAAAATAAAGGGGTAAAATACACAGGAGACAATTAAAAACGATCAGTCGAAGATACCATAGACAAACATCGGGATCGTTTCTGTATTTCAATTGACGTTTTCATTATATTGAGCAAAAAACAATATTTTTTCAAACAATTTTCTTAACCGGGGATAAATATTGTTCAGTTTTCAATGTCGTAGGTATTTCACTTATATTGAATATTTTACCTGGATTGATAGACGATTTGAACAAATAAGTAAAATTCAGTTATTCACTGATTTTCAGTATCACTTTGGTTTCTGTCTAACTGCAAATATCATAATTTCAAATTAATATAAATATACTTGCACATGACTATTCATTTCCATGTAAGTTTTTGGTTATCACATTGACAAATAACAGATGTGAGACCGGTTTGATGTTCTACATATCTAAAACTAGAAACGGAAGTATATTACATGTATAAACAGATCGATGCAGTCATGGTCTTTTTAGATTTCCTTATAGGTCCGGTAATTAATCATCACTCGACCTTTATCGGTGTTCCCACTGTCTGAATTACCCTGTTCAGCTCTTTATGAATAGAGAATAATACATGGTAAAATCCGTTTCACATGCTGTATCAGCCCGAGTTACCAATATCAGCCAGAGGACCTTCTTTCGGCCCTCTGGCTAATATTGGTTACTCGGGCTAAAGAAGGCCCTCTGGCTGATATTGGTTACTCGGGCTGATACAGCAAGTGATACGGATTGTATCATGTATTAATCATTTTATCATATATTTAAACTGAGGACTTTAGTTTTTCTAAATTGATGTCTTCTTCCGAAAGTTAAATTAGTTGAGGATTGATATAGCATCTAATATAGATTTGACATCACACTGTAGGCAGACACAGGGCCGATTTTTCAAGTTGCACTCTGGGACCAGTACTACAACAGCACCACCTTTGCATTTAAGCTCCTAAAAGAATGTGCGAGTGTGTATGGCCAATCACCAAAATGACAATGTAAACAAGTAAAACTTGATGTATTGAACAGTATTAGTTCTCAGTACTTCATTTTAACTTTCATGTGTGCTTCTTCTAAGTAATTACGGTTGATCTAGTGCTGTTAATGACTATTTACTGTTTTTATTTTAATTGAATTGATAGTTGAAATAGATAGGATTAATGTGTTAAATATATTTTGTTATTTAAGATACAGATTCATGAACATCACCGTAGATGAAATTTAGCAGTATGCAAAAAGGATCAGCCATCAACACATACTTCTCCAAATTACGATTTAAAAACATAGATTACGAATTTACAATGTACTTCAAAAATAATTTCATATTACAAAATATTTGCTTTGACTGACCTAAAAAACACACAAAATTTCCAAATCGAAATGATGTCATTGTATTAAATTCTAAGAAAACCTATATCAGTATCACATCATTGTGGCCACATAATTAGTGGTTAATAATACAACAGTTGAATATAAAAAAAGTAGCTTTATGAGGCGCGATTTGGGATAAGTGCTGATTATAATCTTTGGTAATTTATTTGTAAGAGATGCGGTAATGAACAAGTGCTTGCATAAATCAAATATATGGCCACATGTGTCCCTCCGGCAGCAAGATGGTTAACATGTCAGACATTTGCGTCTGCTGACATTTCAAGCAATAACAACTGAGGAGTTCCGAAAACAGTCTCAAAATGTTCCAAAAGGGGTGCGATACAGTTTATGCGATACAGGTCTGGAGTTTCCTTATATATTGAATATTCAAAATCGCAGTAACAAGTACTAAATATATGATAAATTTGCATATCATGGCCTTGTAACGTCAAATACATTAACCCGGCATAAATAGCTTTGACCCCGACATTACACAGACGTTATAATGAATAAACCGACATTGATAAGTTTGACCCGAACTTATCAAGTCATGTTCCGGTTTGCTGGTAAAACTAAGAAAAACACTTGTTTCTATTAAGCAAAATACACAAATACAATCCGATAAATCTATTATCAGATTTCATCATATTTGTATTGTAAAATATCAAAATGCAGAGATCCTGATAATCGGTTGATACCAGACCCTCAAATAGCCCCAGACTGTTATGGAAGTTCCAGATAGTAACTTAAAATGGACGCCTGGTGTGTTCACTTATCGCTACACTAATAATTATAAAGAAAAAGGATAGCATTTAGCTATCTTGAGAAAACATTCCAACCAATTAACCACTTCGTCCTTGATAATCTTTGGATATGAAGGTAACTTGTGGTACATGAACAAACTTGACCATTTGGCAGTTCATAACAAAATATCTAAACATGAAAGCGTAAAAAACAAGATCTTGAACTAGCAAGAAAATCAACACTGAATGCAATGCATTAAACACAAGTCAACAATTCAAACAGACAGAAGCTGAAAAACGGGACCTTGTTGTTTTCTGAGCTGCACAGATTTGGGGAAAAATAACAAATTCAATAACGAAATTGTAACTACATGTAAATGTAAATGTCATTTCCCTAATATTGTTTTTGAAGAATTTTGGTAAAGTAACACAGAGTCTTGCTCACACTTCTTTATGAAATTATTGAGAACACATCAATAGCCTACAATAACTTAAAAAAAATAAAGTAAATTTTATTCACTTTAAACTTTGTCAATTATCTTTTAAATTGGTGAACAACCGTCGCAGTTAATGAATGTTAGTACGACGAAATTGCTATTTTCATACCAGGAGCCGCACATCTTATCATAAAGTCTTAGATGCATGATTTTTTTATTAGTTGTTTTTGGCTTTGAACTAGCTGTAGGTGACTGCGAGTACTCTCAGATCTGTATTTAGTGTCTTTTTGTTGTGGGGATGTATATGTACCCTGCCACGTCCACTCTGCGTTTTTGCTAGATGTATTTTTGCTTTGTATCCATCTGATGAGTTTAGCCCTTTTCAACTGATTTTTATAGTCTTTTCTTATGTTGTACTGTTACACCACTGTCCCAGGCTAGGGGAGGGTTGGCGACTTCAAAATTCAACCCCCCCCCCCCCCCCCCCCCCGAATTCTATATGTGCCTGTCCCAAGTCAGGAGCCTGTAGTTGGGAGGTGGTTGTTATTTGTTGCTGCTTATCATATTTGTTTTTTTCGTTTATTGTTTTGTATAGTATGTTCTTGTGTTGTTCTGTTGCATCAGTGTCCAATGTTAGGGGAAGGGATTGGCGCCATCTAACTAGTTAAACATTATGTATGTGTCTGTCCCAATTCAGGAGCCTGTAATTCAGTGGTTGTCGTTTGTTGCTATATATCATATTTGTTTTTCGTTCATTATTTTGTACATAAATCAGGCCGTTAGTTTTCTCGTTTGAATTGTTTTACATTTGTCATTTCGGGGCCTTTTATAGCGGACTATGCGCTATGGGTTTTGCTCATTATTGAAGGCCGTACGGTGACCTATTGTTGTTACTTTTTATGTCAATTGGTCTCTTGTGGAGAGTTGTCTATTTGACAATAATACCACATTTTCTTCTTATTATAATATGGACTTTTTTCATACAAAAAGAGGGAGGCAATTTTTAACATGCCATATTTATCTCGAATTTATTAAATTCTTCGTAAACAAAAAACAACTTCCGCCTTGTTTTTTATATTCCTTGACCAGCATTACTGTTATATCAATATGTCTTTATAGTATAAAGATGTATCATTATGATAAAGTAATCTGTCAAAATAGCATAGTGAGGTGGTAAGATAGTATGAAAAGGTGGCTCCATATTATATCAAGATGTCTTTGTAGCATACGACTTTATTGTCGTACGATAGTTATTTGACAGAATAGTATGAAAAAGTTGCTCCATGTTATATCGAGATGATTGTATAGTATACAAATTTATCGTAATAAGATAGTAACATGACATAATAGTATAATAAGGTGACGAAATAGTATGAAAAGGTTGCTCAATGTTATATTAAGATGTCTGTATAGTATAAAATGTATCTTGATGGTATAGCAATATCACATAATAGTATAGTATAATGACAAATCAGTATGAAAAGGTAGCTCCATGTTATATCAAGATGTCTTCATAGCATAAAAGAATATCTTCATGACAAAGTAAAATGACAGAATAGTATGAAAAGGTAATTCTGTGTTATATCAAAACGTCTTTATAGTATATAAATGTATCTTAGTGATATGGAAAATTGACAGAGTAGTATCGTCAAATGTCGTAATAGTATAGAATATTTGCTTCATGTTATATCTCAACCCTTAATGATATGATTATCGTTATCAAAAGGCAGCTGTGGTGTTCCATAATGCAACCTTGAGGCCGTAATCTAATTGTTCTTACATGTAACATCGGATCAAGAAAAAGTAAGAACTACGAAACACAAAAATGTACATTATATACTTTCCAGCTGAAATTACCGTTCTTCTGATTTAATTTTTTTTTAATTTATTATTCCTATTTTAGCGAATGAATTAAATCAATTTCCAGAAATATATATTTAAAACATTGGTAGAAGGTCGCGGTTAACATGTGGTTTATTATTGTACCTCGGGATTTGTTACGTATAAAATATTTTGCAACCTTCAAAAAGAAATGTTGCAGATTTCGGTTTAATATCTTTTTCCTTCTTGGTGGATTACGGCTTTTTACATAATAACTTGTAATCACACATTTTTTGTCAG